GCACGCATGCCAGGCAGCTTGAGCAACATCCCCAGCCCCTTAGTGGTGTAGTTTTATTGGGCTAGGAGATATCATCATAATTGAAATATTTACTCTGGGTTCATTTACCAGCACTAGGGGTGGGGTAGGGTGGGGAAGAAATAATATTTACTGAACACCTTCTGATATTTTATAAAGAACTATGCTAGGCCTTAAGATCACACAATTTTCAAGATGGTAGGCTTTGGGAGGCACACAATGAAAGAAGGAAGAATCAGATGACTTGATTCACTAAAACAAATATCACACTAGCATTAAAAAACCAATGTCTTGGTCTTGGGATATAGCTCTGTGGTATTTTGCTTGCATACCATTTGTGAAGCTTGGGTTCAATTCCCAGCCTTGCAAAAACAAAAAAACCTAACCAAAGTCTTAAAGGTATAGAAAAGCACAAGGTTTAATTCTGCTTCCACATGGAGGATATCAGTGGAAAGAACCTTTTTCATGTAAAAAAACAGATACAAAGCACTTCATAAACAAACGTGGAGAAAAAAAAAAAGCAAAGCTACTTATTTACATTTTCCCCTTGTACTATTCTTTATTTTTGAATGGATCATAAATATAGAAAATTCAAAAGATATAAAACATATGAATTAATTTCAGAAATATTTGATAAGTTTTTTACACTGGAGAATAATAAGGCCAATGTAAGAGGATTAAAAAGTGAGGGAAAGTAGGGAACTATTTTTGACTGAATAAGGAAAGGCCTTTCTTATATTAAAACATTTAAGGAAGGAAGCTACTGGATATTCAAGGGAAGAGGTTCCTAGGTAGAAGGAGAAGCTTGTTTAAAGAAGCTGAGCAGTACAGATGTGTTCATGGAATAACATGGAGGCCAGTGTGGCTACAGAAAAGGAACAGCAGGAAATAAGGTCAGAGAGGTGGCTGGAAGCCACACCATGTAGGGCTCACAGGCCATGAAAAAGATTTTGGATTTTTAAAAAAAATGTGATGGTGTTATATAATGAAAAATTTGGCTGGCCTTTGTCCCTGGTTCTTGTGAGGGAGATTCTAAACCCTTGAAATTTCTGGAATGACAGGACTGTCACTGCTAATCATGGTAGGCCCTTGGATCACACTTAGGGAACTGAAGAAGGAATCTAACTATGCGGCTAATGATTTATTTAATCAATCATGCCTAAATAATGCAACTTCAATAAAACTTCTGAATGCTAAGGTTTAGGAGATTACTACTGGTTGGTGAAAAAACCAATGTGCTAGAAGGATGACATACATGAATTGAGTCTACAGGAAAAAGGACATGGAGGTTCCCAGACCTTGCTCCATATGTCTCTCCATTTGGCTGGTCCTGATCTGTAGATTTTATAATAAAACTGTAATCATAAGTACAGTGCTTCAATCCCCAGCACCAAAAAAAAAAAAAAAAAAAAAAAAAAAGTATAGTGCTTACTTGAGTTATAGTTAATTTTTGGACCTGGGTAAATCATGAGACTCCCCTGAATCTGTAGCATTGGTTTCAAGGGAGGATAGCTTGGAAACCTTCCAAACTTGAGGCTGGTGTCTGAAGTAAAGGTAGTAGCCTTGTTGGAGATGTGCCCTTAACTTACAAAGTCTGTGCTAATTTGGGGTACTTTGCATGAGATTTAAACAGTAGCTAGGAAGCTGTACGAAAAATGTTGTGATTTTTATCCTCTAAGCAGAGGGTCAAGAGCAGACTCCAATGGAAGGTTTAGGACTACTGTGGTATTCTGCAGGTAAGATGTAATGGTGGCTTAGATTAAGATGGTTGGGAGAGAGATGGAGAGAAATAATTAAATGTATACTGACTCTTAAGGCTCACCATATTTGTGAGTGAACTGAATTTACAGTTTTTTAATGATTGCATTCTACTACTGGGATATGCCATATTTGATTAATCTGGTCTTCTGCTTCTTGTACAAGGCTCAATATCGATACTACTCACTTTGAACAAAACAGAATTGAAATTCTCTAATTTTATGAAGTCTTGTTTTTGCTTCTGAGTTCAAGTATTTCTTCTTCATATCCTATTTAAAATGACTGCAGAATTCTAGAGTTCAAAGTGAAAGGATCCTGAGAAATGCTCTTGTTCCTGATTCTCATTGTGGGAGGATATTACCAGGTAATCAGAACCTCCAAGAGAATTTTGGAGCAACAAATCCTCTCCATCTCTGACAGACTCTGGGAAAGTGGGGAGAACTTAGTGTATTGTTCATAGGACTTTGACCATGATTCAACAATCTTGAATGGCTTTTCCTAATACCTTTACTTCTCACACAAGAAAACTGAAACACACATCACAAAGTGATAGATAGGTACCTGATCGATTTTCAGTGCTCCTAGTACAATGTCTGATGCAATTTCTTTCAACCCTTGGCAACATAAGATATGAACATAAATTTTTTAAAATTCTTGCTAATTTATCAGACAAAAACCAGTGTATTCCACCATTGTCTATAGGATGATTTATTATATAGATTCACCTGAGCTATCCTAGAAGACAGCTGGGATTTCTGAAGTCATATTTCAGAAAGGAAAAAAGGAAATTACTTGAAAACATAGACTGATTTAATAACATTAAGTTCTCTCTTGCTAATTTCACTCAGTCATGATCTTATCTTACTTTTGTCTCAGTTCTAAAGAAGGTATTAATAGCTGATGACAGGGTTTTCCTCATTGCTCCTGATAGTATTACAACCTACACACCAACAATCTTTAAAGGAAAATCACTACATTTTGGTTCTTCTTTCCCCACTCAACTTAAGAAAATCTTCTATTATCCTTGTTAGAATCAGCATGACAGTGGCCTTAGGGCCACTTAAGACCAAAGAGGACACAAAGTTGGTACCATGGTCTTAACGGGAATCTTTTTTTTTTTTTTTTAATTTTTATTTTTTAGTTATCGGCGGACACAACATCTTTGTTTGTATGTGGTGCTGAGGATCGAACCCGGGCCACACGCATGCCAGGCGAGCGCGCTACCGCTTGAACCACATCCCCAGCCCTAACGGGAATCTTTCTAAGGATTTCTATTATCTTGTCTTAACCCCACGCTAATTAATAAGGAAAGGACTGTTAGGAGACAAAGGAAGGTTAAGAAGCATGCTCAAGCAGGTGTGGTAGCAACACCTACAATCCCAACTACTCAGGAGGCTGAGAAAAGAGGACTATAAACTTGTGAACCATGTTGGAACTTGGAATACTGTGTCTCAAAAGTAAGAATTAAAAGGGTTGTGATGCAGGTCAGTGATAGAGTACCTGGATTCAATTCCCAGGGCTGTGAAAGTTTTAAAAAAAAGAGAAAAGAAATTTGCTCAAGTTTATACAGTTAAGTGGCAGAGCTGGAATTTGAACACAGAAAATGATTCCAGAACTGGTGCTCTCTATCCCTGTACACGCTGTATCTACGTTTCCCGATTTAGGTTTCACACCTCTTACCCATGACTTCCAGGAAGCATTTTCCAAAACCTACCCCAATCTAGCCATGTAAGTAACTATTCACATTTTATTAACTCAGCCTAGACCCGCCAAATTACTTAATTACTTGTTTATATGTCTTTCTCCTTGATTAAACTGTGAGTTCCTAGAAGACAGAAACTTTTTTTTTTTTAAAGGGGAGAGAGAGAGAGAGAGAGAGAGAGAGAGAGA